TCGATCGGCGGGAGGCGAGGTGAGTACGGTAACTGCAGTGACATTTGCCGCATGCCGCAAGGGAGAATGCCGCAATCGGGGAAAAGTTCCATTACCCGTACGAGGGCAGTGATGGTAGTAATTTCATAGAAATCGTTGCCGCTGTTGTTTTGGTTTCAACGACCGGGTAGGGGAAGATTGAACCGGCAGTTTTTCGCATGTACTGGTTGTAATGAGTATCGATCTGTTCCTCAAACTCAGTCCCCATTGATTTCTTCTAAAGCCGATTGTCTACATATTGAGACTGCTTTGAACAGCTGATTCATTTAATTTCGATAATTTTTCAACTGTACTCTAGAGGGCTTCAAATAGCGACTTGTTCAGTGGTCAACTAATCTTTTAATGGTTTCGAATGTCTGATTTGTTTATTTGTTAACGAGTTCCCATCCTTAATGGTAGCCTGGGAGCCTATGACGGGTTAAGTGGTTAAGCAGTACTTGTTCCAGAATAGCCTTTCTCTCAATGCTTAAGTTCCTGCTACTATTTTTCTTCATAATATGTTTTTCAGTGTTTAGTGGTTCTTTATTAGATTGTGTCGAGAATTTCTAAATAGCCGCATATCGTCATGCTCTGGATTACTCGCTTACTACTTATCACAGAAGTTCTGTTCACGAGAAATATTGTTTCAATTCCGATTTTTTTCCAAAATCAAAGGGAAATCATCAAAACCGGTTTTCTTTTCGCCTAGTAAGATTTCACTGGTTTTCTTTTTTTTTCGCTTGACTAATTGGCAAAAAGTTTAGCTTTTTTCATGAAGAATCAATAAAATAAAAATGAAGTGAGTAAAAACAAATAGAAAGCGAAAATAAATTGAAATAAAATAAATAACTGAAAATAAAACATAAAAATGAATAAAATGCAGTTCCCCTAGAAATTTCCAAAAGGGAACAAGCTAGAAATTTTCAAAGAATTTTTTTATATTTCATAATTAAACCTCTTTTGTTTGTCAATTACCGCTTATCACCGCAGCTCATGTTTGAAAGGTCACCAAAAGAATCGGAGAGATGAGTAAAATTTTTTACTTGGTGGAATCTGAACTTCAACTTTTGCACAATCAGAAGTTTTCAGATTCAGAGGAACTGGAATTTTAGAGTTTAATTAGAAATATTCAGAATTCAGGGTTTAAAAGATTATTCCTCTTCTCTAAACATCGTCCACGATTTTTTTTCCTTTTCCCCTACTTACAGGTTAATTGGATGAGCTTGTTTTCAAGTTGGTTAAATTCATGCTCAAAGAATTCTAACTTCTCCACTTCTAGAATTTTTCCTATTGATCGTCTTCCAAACCGTATCTCCGCAGTGAAACTTCCAAATGTTGCCGTATTGTCATGCCTTGTACGGGGTTATTGCGCAAACGTTTAACGCCAGCACGGCTCTTTCTGTTTGTTCTTTTATTGACGTTATGTTTGTACAACTTCACCGGCACGGCTTTACAACTTCGGTAAACCTTGGAGCCAACCATTCGATTCCCATTCAATTTCCAACATTTCTGGTTCTCACCTGCTTTCCTCCCGTCTCTAACATTTCATCTAACTTTTCTTGATTTTCATTCAAAAGTTATTATCTCACCATTAATGCTTGCTATACACTTGATTCGAGGTGTTAAATTCAATTACAATTATTTTAGGTTTTTTTACTTTCTAAACTATTACCTTGTTGTACTTTTATCCTTTTTTTAAATAACAGTAAGACATGAACTGGTAGAAGGCTGACATTCAAACTCACTGAACAACATGTCTACGGGTTAGTCGAAGCGAACTGGGATGACTATTCATGTGTACCTTTTTTTGTCAAAGCTGGAAGGTCCTCGAAATCTGAATCAAATCAGATTTAAAAGTCTCATTCGCCCATGAATTTCTTGGAAATGTTGAAAAGGGCAGACTATGTGGGCGGGGTTTTCGACCCAATAGCGAACTTCTCATTGGCCTTCTGCTTTTTCAAAGTGTCGGAGCAGCAAGAATAAGGATGAATTCAAAGAAATTGGATCTGTCCAAGCTTCCTCCGAAAAATTCTGTGAACTAAAAGATTTTCGATCATTTTTTATGTTATGCTCTTCTGTATTCCTAGCAACGCTACTATATGCGAACGCCTCTCCCCACAACCATCTTAATTTTGGAAAAAGCCCTGTGCTACTCTCATTCAAGTCTCCACATAGTAATTCGCAGCTGTTTTGTTTCCTACCGAAATCGTTCGAATTTAGTTCCTTCCATAATCAACAGCAATGAGTGCTGATGATGACTTTTTCCTCTGCTTCCAATGGACCTCATCGGTGGAAGTGTTATATGTAATGCTATGGAAAAGTTTCTTTTTTGGCGAAAGTTTTTGCTCAATTTTCCTCAACTTTTCATTGTTCTCGACTTAACTTTTTCTAGGATTTCTGCTTGAATAGAATTACTTCTCATTCGTTTTTGTTACCTAGCTATGGAATCATGAATGCTGCAGAAAAGAGATGAAAGATTATCTTTTTGCGTTGATCGATCCTGTGGTATACGCCCCGCGTTCGATTTCCATTCAGAATCGGCGGTTCGAGTGCAGGTGTGGCCTATGCAATGACTTGCAGAAGCCAGCCCTTGTAGAATGCAGTGTTTTCTCCTCCCAGACGAGTTTGTTAACAGTTAACCTCCCTAGAAGGGATGGAAGGTGTGGCAGACCTAGGCCGATGTCGATCCAGGATTCGAGTCCGTGACCATGCGTTTGTGGTCTGGCCACTACACCCCTACACTACCGCCGCCCTGACTATTTATATGAATATAATATATGATTTCATATAAAAATTCTGAAGTTTCCACTCGGCTATAATTCTCCCCGTAGCTGTCGGAAAGCAAGCAGCGCATGCAAAAACGAGCCGTCAATACATACGTTTGATTAGCTGGCTCCGTTGCTGGTTCTCTGCAGACCCTGTTTATTTAGGATGATATCATTATTCGGGGAAAAATATTTTTGTGAAGAGTTGTTATCGATTTTATTCTTGTCCCCTTTCCTGGAAATAGATTCCATTGCTTAGCTGTTTTTTCAACCACCTTTTGGATACAGGCGGGATACGGATCAGTTGATTCCTTCTCCCAATCGAAAATGGTGCTCACGCACCTGCAGCTGACTATAGATAGAAGTAGGAGCATCGAAGGCACCTCCGAAGGGCGGCTGTCTTGGTATCTGCCCGCAGGGGAACCTATGTAGGACGATGAGGAAGAATAGAGGTAGTAGAAATCAGTTAAATCGAACTCGATCTGATCCTAGGGACACCTGGGAATTGCCAGTAACCCCTTTTAGCGACACCTAATGCTGTCCCTACTGATCTTCATGTCAGATCAATGGTTTCAATGAGCTTTGAACACCTAGAGATGAAGCTTCGTTCTCTGACTCCATTCTGTACGGTTTCTAATGTCAAAGAATTCAGACAAAACTTCTGTGATTCTTCCCTCAAATGTCCTAACATACAGAACTAATTGTTCCCACATATTACAGTCATACCACCTTTTTTTCATAATTCATGTCAAGAAATCGTTGTGTCAAGGAACTGGGATGAAATGGCGTCGATTGAACCGTTCTGTTCGCTCTCATCGTTAAACGACTTTGTGTAGGCGTCGACGGCCTTGAGAATATTCGTCTCCTCCATACCATCCCTGTCCTCTTCGTTTTCCTACACCGCATCTCATACTGACCAGGCATTTGTTCGTTGGCGTTCCAGGGCTGCACTGCCCTGCAAGCGATTTCGGCTTGATAAGAACGCTTGATCGATGTTTTTTCCTGTATGTGTTCTGGAAGAGAAATCGCAAACATTTTTTGGAAACGAAATCGAATGCAGCGCTCTGATCGTCATTCCTATCGGCTTCTCGTCGCTAACTGCTTTCATAGATTCCTCTCTCTCATACAGAATTCCGATAAACTTGGTTTTCCGGTTGGATAGAATTGCGATGATGAAAACTTCGTTACTTTTTCACTTAGGTACATTACTGGTTAAGAACCGACTTGAAGTTTGAGTCCGCTGCCAAGAGTATAAGTCTGATTGGCAGGGGTGCTGCGGCGGAGTTGTTGTGCAGTACTGCGAGTACACATCCTTCCTTGCTGTATTTTTGACCCAGTGATATGTTTCTTTTTCTTCGGGTTGAACATTCAGCAAAGAGGGTCATTCACCCATACCTGTTAGAACTTATCGGTAAGTTAATTGGCAATAGCCGGTCGTAATGTGTAAGTAACTGCAGACGACCAAAGATGGGTTCATGTTGAGATTACTGGTTCCTGAAGAATTCGGGGAAGATTTGTCTTCTTCATTTTATTTACGACTGTTGCCTTTTTCCTTTTATCAGTATGTTCGGAGCTGTAATAATTTGTAAAAACTAATATGACGTGATATCATATGATAGGAATGGAATGGCATGGGCAGAATATGATAGAAAATAGCCATACCGCCTACATCCAGAAACGTTCGAGCTTCTAGAAGTCATGGTATTTCGACAAGGTATCTATTCTCTCTCCTAATTTCACTGTGTGATTACTGTAGTTAAGTTCAACTTCCTCCTTTAGTAGGTAACTGTGGGCTCCTTCCGGGAATAATTCAATCTTTACTCTAAAGAAATTGTCTTTACTTATCTAAATACTGTAATTTAAAGGTGTGAGGATGTAGTAAATCTGTTATTGAATATGGTAGATGGGTTAGGTATTGAGGAACGCAGTGATAAAGAGGTATGCGCTCACTACGGGTTTGAAGGGCAGTTAAGCTGGTGTTGGGTAACAGAGTCGGGTTGAATACCTCAAGCAAAAGCCTACGATTCCCTTTATTTGAATGTTTTACCACTACTATCAATGCTTTTGACTGTCAGCTGATTAGTGGTTGAATGAGGATGAAAGTTTACAAAACTTTATCAATCAACATAGCCCTTCAGATGCGAAGAGCTGCTGACATGAAGAACCTGCTTCGCTATAGCTTGTACATCAGCAAATCGACAGAAATCGGTTAACAAACCTGCCTTCTTCGTCTTTTTCTGCTCTACATTACATTATTTAACTTATAATAATTTACTCAGCTCTTTTTTCATTCCGAGAGAAGCGGTGTCGTCCTTTAGAAAGTACTTCAGTTGAGCATGATCGTGATTGGTTCGGGATTTGTGACGAAAAATTTACAAAAAAAAAGAAACGAAAACGAAAATCACGAAAAAATTACAGAAAATTTTGTATATTTCTCACCTGATTTGAATTTCATAAAAAGGGACAATTCTAAAGAAAGGTTGCGACTTCTTTGGATGGGCTCTGTCATGAGTTTCACAGAAAATTTGGCCTTCAATACCTTATGTTCTTCGTTTTTTGTTGTTCTTTGCTGTCATTCAAGCTTCTACCTATGCCTTCTGAGTTGCTTCGTTCGTTATAATAGAATCGTACAGCAATTTTTTTTATTACGTTTTCTTATTCTTTCTCTCCTTTACAGGAGAATTGTAGGAAAGGCAAAAACAATTGCTTGAATCATTAAAATCCTAGCCATGAAAAATGTCATCGCTGAAACACGGGTAGCAGATGTTCTGCTTACATATTCATGGTTCCTCCCATTGAATCCTTCCCGGACTACTAAGCGGTCCCATTATTTTGGGGTCCGTCAGTTATTGTATAGTATTGAAATAGTCGTAATAATTATAAAAGTAATAATAACAATAGTAATAATGCAGCAAAAAGTAATGCGTTTTGTTCTCCGTGCAGTTCTTTCGAAGCTATATATCCTATTGAATATTTCAACATAGTGGTAGTAATCGTGGACATGGCGAGTTCTGAAGAGATGATTAAAATTTATTCTTTCTTTTTAATGTTTATTTTTCTTTCCCTCACCATTTCTTCATTTTCATTTGGCTTTCAATCCTTTCCTCGACAGAATTGTACCTTTCTTCGTTTTTTTTTTGCTTATTTTGTTCGGATTTTTTCCTATGTAAAGGTGTACTTTTCTCGCCATCTCGTCATCGACAACATTTTTTGCTGGTTGCTGTTCATTTCGTTTAATTATTCTCAGAATTAGAGCTTTTGTCATCTACTACTTCACGTGCACTGCAGCTCTCTATTCATACTATTTTCAAAGAATTCTATTCTAGCTTTTCTTTCGAACTAAAAAGGTGCAAGAAAAGCTGTGCTCCAGAAGATTCTCAGAAGTTCTTCGGAACGAAGAGAATAAATTTTCTGAAACTCCCATGGCATAGTTAATTTTTATGGGAGCTACCATTCACTACCTAAAATACCAAGTTAAAAGATCTGCATATTCGTCTAGTAGATTAATCGTATCCCCGTTGATTAGGTTGCTTTCAAGGAAATGGCTTATAGGGACTCTTCGAAGTTTCAGCTGTGACAATAACCCTATGACTGCGAAATCGAGTAGTGTTGGATGGTGTTTTTACTTTATATGAAGTTCGAGGTTTTTCTTCCTTCGAACCCTATTCAGATTCCTAGGACCTGACCGCTCCTTTTTAAGGAAAAGAATCATGCGCGGGATGACTTTTTGGGAACAAATCAGATACGCATCCAACAGAGCTGCAATTTTGACTGGAGTTTGGATGCGCGGCGCAATATTTCAGCGTCCAATCCTTGCAATTTTGAAGTATGGGTTCTGAATTGTTGATGGTCTCCTCTCAACGATGGCACGCTGACCTTAATGCCTGGTTAGCAGTGATTTGGAATCAGCTCTTCAATGCAGTAGTTTATGAGGGTGGATCGATTTCTATCTTCATCATTGCTATTCTTCTTTCCTCAATCTCTGCTGGCGTCTTTCGTGTCTTCAATCAAGTCGATTTTCCATTTATTACTTGCGTATTTGTACCCGTGAATTTTTACATTTTTACTTATTCTGGACGGTTATCCTTGCAGGTACTCAGCTCCGTTGCGCTCTGCTGCAACCCTCAACTATTGCAGTCCAATTTACTGGAGTAAAGAAAAGTCAGTAGCAGTTTTCAGTAAGTTCAAATCACTTTTTCGAGTCAACCTTTGTGGAAAAGCCTTTCAGCGATGATTTTCAGGTTCCATTTGTCAGTGTTTTCAGGGTAGTTTTAGGCTTTTTCTAAACACCTCCTCTAGCCTCGGCAACAATTTGTGCAGTTCACATGAGCCCAATGTAAAATTTTAGTTATTAAAGTAGTTTTTATCGAACACCTTCGGAAATTTTTCAAAATTGGCAGTAAGTTAAATACTTCCAATTTGATTTTTAAAAGTATTCGTTAAATTTTTACGTGATTAGTCACTTTAATTGTTATTTCCTAGCAATTTTGTAGCATAGGGTTACCACCTCAGGACTTCTTTGATTCTTCAATTCTTCAGTTATTTATTATTAATTATTTCTGTTTTAAAAATGGCTACTTCTGAGCTCTCGAGAAACGCCCGCGAGTGTTTATAACTTGTAAGTAAGAAATATTTCAGGACCAAGGTGTCATATCCCTCGCTTTATTCATCACTTTTGTATGGGCCCGATAGAACTGATCCTGTTTGTTTTCTCGATAATCATCCGATGTCGGTACCCATTCATCTTTGCTTCTTCAATCGCTGCGTTTCGCAGTCTCTCCCGTTGCTAAAGCTGTTTGCCAAATGGATTACCGAAGTTCGGGCACGCGCCTTTTAGGCTATCAAATTTCCAGGGATCGTAGTTTGTACCAGATGGAAATTCCGTTTCAATGTGGGGTTCAGAACCGCGCTCTATTTCCGTGGGAAGTAATCTCAGGATTAGAAACAAAAGGATATTTTCAAGCGATAAATTTTGAACATCAATGTTGATTTTAAGTGGTCGAAATTTTTTTTGTAAAAAAAATTGTAATTCTGGGGAGACTTAGTTATGGTAGGCGGAACTTCAACAAGCTGGGCGGGGTTTTTAAGTGTTCACTAAACGAAGTTTGAATTTTGAGTCACATGGAAGGAGTTCAATGGGTTTGATCAGGCGATTAGCTTATTTTGCTTGTTCCGAAATTTGCGAGAAATTTGCAGCTACTGAGGTTAACGTCATTTTGGAAATGGGAGGATGTGATAAGGGAGACATGAGGAGTATCGTGGGGGTAGACATCAACAAGCAGATAATCTATGGTTATTCTCGTGTTCAATATTATTAGTGATGTTGTTTTTACTGGAATTTCACATTTACGGCTCCCACAGAGTGTCTATAAATCGTCAAGATCGGAGAATCTATCCGTCTGATAATCTATGGACCAAATACCTATCCATTTAGAGGAATGACATTTATCACTTCGGGAATGTTAAGAGGTATCGAAAAATTGATATTGTTTACCATGTCATCGAGACCTATATCAGTAAGTAATCACAATCGTATAATCTGAGCCTCCGAAAAATCAATTATCGATTGATGTCGATTTAGTTTATCGATTTCCGCTAGAGGTTATCAAATACTGGTGGCGAGTCACACATTCGTTTAAGATAGTTCAAATTGAAGCATGAAGGAGTAACGACCAAAATTATCTGTTCGTGGTTTACAGTCCGTTATATCTGCAGCTCAAGGGTGGCTCCTAAACTGCATAGGACCTGGCTTTGGACGATTCATTTTTGAGGTACGCCATGCATTCGACCTCTGTTTAGAATCCGAATTCCATTTCAGTCCCCTCTGCGTTGGTGGCGGCCCTATTTCCGCTCAAAACATCTTGGGAATAAGCTTCTGCATTTTCCCACTTATCTCGCACAAGTGTTTTTAGCAGGGTGATACTTAAGCTGACATTAATTTTCCGGATAAAGATATAGCCGATTAAGTGGTTGACGTGGCTTAATCCTTCCAGGATACGCCATATATTTGATTTCCACAATCGTTGAATTCAATA